TTTGCCTGTGATGTGCACAGGCCAAAAAAATCTATCCATCCATCCATTCAGCTAACTATCTATCTATCTATCTATCTATCTATCTATCTATCTATCTATCTATCTATCTGTCTGTCTCTGTCTATCCATGTATGTTTATACATATAATAGCCAACTGAACACACATATACTATACACACACATATATACTATAGACACACACATATGCCAACTGATCTCTACTGGAATTAATTTACTTACTACCACACATCAATTATCATCACTCAAAGAACACTACAGTAAATAGGTAAATCATTTAAACCACTCAGAAAACTTTCTCCCCCTCATTATGAGAATAAGTACATGTACCATAGTCCTTAAAAAGGTATTCCCTCGTACCTAAACATGATTTAGATATGCTTCGAATATGTGTCCAGTCTACCTTCCAATACTGGAGTCACACCTCAGTATGTTGGTTTTAAGCATTTTCTTAAAATCAACTAAGGAATCATTTCTAAAAAAAATTCTTACTGTTTAACCGGAATGTTTTAAGGGTCTCACAACATTTTTTGCTAACATGTTGTTGGAATAAGCATTATTTAATGACAATATAACTTTTTAAGCACTATTACTACAATCTTGCAGAGTTTTCTTTAGGACTACTTAAAATGATAGAATATTAAAAGCAACAAAAGAAGCATCATTGCTTATTTCTTAGTGGACATCTCATTAGCTATTGGTTACTGTCCTGGAATTAATACAGACAAACTCTAAGTAGTCTAAAAGAAGCTCCTAAAGAGACACTTTAAATTTTCTAATTCCATGAATTGCATAATATAAATATAACAAGGGTGGGGTTATTTTGAGTGGAGATAGTATCTATCTCCTCCCTCCCAAAAATACATATGACTAGAAAAAAATGGGGTGGGAAAGATGTAACCAAAACCAGACTTCTGAAAAAAGTCTTCAAGTACTAAGAACTAATATTCCAGGCTAAAGCTTTAGAATATATTTACTTACTAATAAAATACCATAAAAATTCTTTGCAAATATTATAAAGCACTAGGTCACTTATCAAGTACCTTTTACTGCTTTCAGATTTAGTTTGTAATTACCTGGTGGTACATTTAGGGTCCACTATGATATGCAACAGAAACTCTTTCAAAAAATACAAAGGAAAACAATTCTGCCATCAAAGAAAATACCCAGAGACTTAATGAAAGTACCAAAGACTAATGATGTTCATATAAAAAGCAATAAAAATTAGGACTAAATTTATAATCAATTCCCTTTCTAAAAGGCAAAGCTCTGTTTTTTTTTTTTTATCCATGATTTAAAACTGATGAAATAATTATCAGCTTGCTATGGTGCCCCAAATTATTTTCTTATATCACTGGGAAGATAAGGTATTAAAATATCTAATAGCAATTGTCTATTTGAATTTTTCATGGGTTGCATATTGCTGAATTTTTAATCTGAGATCATTTGTATTAGCAAGGAAGTTAATGTAACAATGATGGTCTTAATGTTGAGGCAAATGGAAGCTCCAGAGATTTTCTGGGAACAAGAAATTAATTCATCCATGTGCCTTTGTCCTCCAACCTTCTTCCTCTTTCTACACAGGGAAATCCCTTCAGTATATTTGAAGATGGTTAGATTTCTTTTCAAAAAGGACAGCTAAAGGTAATGGACTAATCCTTTTTTAATTCAGATTTTTGTTTCAATTTCATAATCATTACAACTCTTCCACTCCATGAAAAGCTGTACACCCCAAGGAAAATCATGCAGTAGGCTGAGATAAGCAACTGCATCACCAAAATCAGCCAAATTCCAAATTCAAAGTATTTAATAGATACATTTTTCCATTTCTTGTCCATGTTCTTTAATGATGTTTCTATTTCATCAGTGCATTTGGATTCTTCCATTTCTCTTACATCAGGATAAACAAATTAAACTCGGAACTTTCCTTTACTTCCCCCTCCCCTTAAATCTTGGCAAGTGATGAATTAGAATGAGGAAACTGCCCTCCTCCCGGCTCAGAAAACTGTTCGGAAAATATTCCTGGTGTTTAAAAAAAACTGATTGTTATATATCCCTTGAAGAATAGAGGATATGAGCATATAAAAATCTTACCCCAAACTGACCAAATAATGAAATAAAATAAAAATCAGAAAGAAGAATCCATACTACCACCTTGTGGCTTCTTCTTGAAAGAACAGCACCTGCTCATTTCAATAGCCCCCAACTACCCCCCACCATTTTTTCAAGTTCTCCAGATACGATTTAAATTGGCTTTTTTTTTCAGAAGAGACCACCCACTTTATTTATTTGAATTAAGATCATTAAGATATCATAAATAACCAGCATACCAGTTGACTTGGGGGTCTTTTTCTCCCATTACTCCTTCTTCGCCTCACCTCCCCGCTTCCACTCCATTACCCTCCACCCCAAGCCCTCTATCTCTCAGTATCCCTTTAACTGCCTGGGACCTTAAGCTGGCTCATCACCATCATCACCACCATCATCATTCCAATAATATATCAAACATGGTCTGTCTCCCTCAAGATCCCACCACCTGCGGGTCTTTCCAGAAAGAGTGATAAAACCGGGACACCCAGAACACTGAGAGATCGTTGCCGGCGTAGGAGGGCAGAAAACTGAATGCTCTGGAGAGGGCATTCATCAGTTCCCAGAGTACTCGGTTGGATCAAGGGCCCCGGAGATGGAGGGGGAGAAAGTCTCCGGACCACCGCTTCCACTGCCTCCTCGAGAGGAGGGGTCTCATCTGTGGCTCTCAAGTGTGACGGGCTCTGGGGATGGAGATACCCAGAGCCTCTTGGCCGCGCTCTGAGGGTAGCGTCCCACCTGCTCTGGGAGCCGCAGAACCCAGGGTTAAGGAAGAGGCTGGATCTGGGCTTGCTGCTGTGAGGGCAGCTAGCTGGTAGGGGAGACTGAATGATTTTGTCTTGTCTGGAGCCGGAGCCGGCACAGACCTTGCAATGAATGGGGGGTTGGGGGAGGGAGAGTCTTTGGGGGAGTCAAAGGGAGAATGGGGTGGGAATCGGGACAGAACCAAGGGGTGGAGAGGGAAACTCCTAGCTCTCTCTCTCTCGCTCTCTCTCTCTCTCGCTCTCTCTCTCTCTCGCTCTCTCTCTCTCTCTCTCTCTCTCTCTCTCTCTCTCTCTCTCTCTCTCTCTCTCTCTTCCATTCTCTCTCCGCACCAATATTTCTCACGCGCGTTGCGGCTGCAAGCCCACCTTCTCCCCTCCCCCCTCCTTCCCATTACCAGGGTTCTGACTCCCCCCAACCCCCACCCCTTCATGCAACTCCTAATTCCCCACCGCTCAGTACCCACCCGCTGTTCTGCAGGTCCGGGAACCCTATCCGGAGGTGGGCAGTAATGAAACAGGTCTGACGTTGGGAATGGTTTGGAAGGGGGGAGGGGCAGGGGGACGAGCACAAGTTCCCCAGCTTTTCGGGGGCCCCACACTGCACCTCACCTTTCCTCCTCCCCCCAAGGCTGCGGGTTTAGTAGATTTTCGCCATCAGCCCTGCAGACTAAACCGGAGGCGGGGGTAGGAGGATCCAAACGGTCGGGTTGGAGGGAAGTAGAGAGCAATTACAGTAGGAATTATAATTTTTCCCCTTGGGAAAGCCGGCGGGGGGGAGGAGAGGGAGAATGGCGCTTTGGACTTTAGGATTCTATTTTGCTTTTAAGAGCGATGGCAGTGGGGTCAGAGCTCCAGACCCTCCTACGGCAGAAGTCGGAGTGGGCCAGACGCGGGGTTCCTAAGAGGGCAGCATAGCCCCTGACCCAGAGACGGGGCAGTACTGGCACAGATTGGAGCTTCGCTTGCTCCAAAGGCCAGGGTGCCGGAACCAGGGGCTGCTCTCTGCATTTTCCAACTTTTCTCTTCCTCCTGAGGTTCGAAATGGTGTTTCGGGTAGAAGCAGCAGCTGCATCTACCCTCAGACCCAAGTGGTTCTGAGAGACTCCGGAAGAAACAAAACCACCGGTTTCCTTCCCCACCCCCCAACCCCTCTCCTCACCACCCACCCGGCACCCCCGCTGTTCCCCATCCCCCACCATATTCCGACCCCCGGAAAAAAAAATGAATAGAAAAAGCCCACGCTGCCCTCTCTCCTCCGCTTTGCAGAGGTAGCGATATGCTACCGAATTTTAATTTTTACCCCCGAGGTATTTTGCACACCACGATCTCTTTTCCCAGTAAAACCGAACACGAAATGCCAGTTTCTAATCAATCACGTGCGTTATTCCATGCATCACACAAGCCGTCATTTTACCAGAGCCCAGCAGATGAAGGGGGGAAAAAGATGAATTGCTTAATGCAACACAAGCCAAGGCTGCTTTCTTTCTTTTTCTTTTTCTTTTTTTTTCCTTTTTGGTTAACCAAAAAACCCAGGACGCGTTGGTTTACAATTTCCTTAGAGAAGAAGGAGGGGGAAAAGCACCTAGACGCTCACAGTTTCATGAAGTGCTCCTTATTTCTTCATCTCTCATCTCCCCGGTTTGCAGAAAATTGTAGCTTTGCTTTTTCTCTCCCTGTACTGCAGATTTTTTCCCCCTCTCTCCTCCACACTCTTCTGTTTATTTGTATGTAAGGCAGAGCTACTTTGTAAACACATCACATAGAGCCCCCAGCGCCGTTCAAATAGCTGATTGCAGCAAAATGCTTCCAAACCGATGGCGTTCCAGTTTTTTTTAAGGCAAAATAAGATGTGTATGTGGAGATATACATGTAGCTGTGCGTGCATACACATGCACATACATGTTCACACATACACCCATAGGGACCCCATTGAGATACTACATTATCGGGGAGACATGTCAGAAAGTATTGTCCAAAAACAGAAAAGAAGAAATATCAGGAAAAGTGAAAGCCAGAGCACCGCAGTGGAGCCTGTCACCTTTTGCTAGGGTAAAAACTGCAAGCCAAATATTAAGAAAAGGAAAGGTTTAAAAAAAAACTCACAGAGGAGTATCTGAAATTAGCACCTACCTTAGTCGGGGGAAAGCTGCATCTGCTTTAAGTGTCCTTTATACACAGCCAGGTTCTTCCAGGGAATCCTAACTGAACATGATACAGGAGGGTTTAATCAATCCAGGCTCCTCTCCTTTTGGCAATCCAAGGAGATTTTCTTGTCCAAAGGAATGCAAAGACCACCAAAAAAACCCCAGGGTTTGGAGGAAATTGGTGCTTTCTGTTGTAAATGACCTACATTCAGGAACAAAATGCATTACAAACCGAGCAAGAAAGGAAGAGTTGTGTATGTCTGAGTGAGAGCGCTGATTGCCTATGCAGAGAGACAGAGACAGGGAGAGAGACTGATCTGCAAGAAAAAGAGAGATTGAGGAGGGAGAGAGGTCCAGGCTGTACCACTCTCTCCTTCTGCTATTGGACCAAACTGAATGAAATTTACAAAGCCAGCAGCCAATAGATCTCTGCAGTCTGCCTCATCACTACAGAAACCATATCTACATCTACAACCTAATGCAAGGAGCATCTAATCCTAGTGCAAACCAGCTGTAACAGAATTATCCTGGGTGCCTGTATGGTTGAACAGGTGGGTATGTTACACATGTAGAGTATGCCAAAAATGCACATGAAAAATTAATCTGACTGCAGTTTTTTCTTAATTTCTGTTCAAAGATCCTGTATGGAAAATATGCTAGTCTATTTGCAAACATATTTAACCATTTAATACCCTGCTTTCCACAGATCCTGATGAGTTGTAAGCATGATAACAAGAAACATCTACTACTGGTTGTCAGATTGATGAGTATTTGGCTCCTCCTGAGGCTACAACAATTATTTCTGAATATAGTGTCACTGTTTTTATTTATTTTTAGTAACTAAAGTACAGCAAAGATTCATTAAATCAAGGGACCTTGTGTACACCCAAATGTTAGTTGAGAGTTGTATACATTATTTCCTTTTCCTGCATATGTTATAAAATAGTACATCTATATACAAATGTAAAAATATGGTTGTGGTTGGTTGACAAAAAAAAATTCATTAAATGTTTTGAGTACCTACTATGTGCTTATTGGGGGTGATATGAGCTATCATCTAAAACAAAGTACATATAAGATACTATTATCCTGTACCCCATGAAGTTTACTTCTATTATTAGATTCCCTTAATTGCTGTTCCATTTTATGTTTAGCCAGCATTAGATTTGGATACTGTGACAGGGTGTTTAAAACCTTGGGGCAGATGAGCTAGGTTCCCAGTGGACAGCACTGAAGGTGATCTGAATGTGAAAAGTTTAGTTAAAAATATATAGTTGGGGGGGTAGGATAATACATGCATATGTTCAATAATAAATATTAATCATTTATCTAGTATAGGCAACTCTTGGTACTGGGAATTGTGAGTAGAACACAGACAGAAAATACTTCATGTCTTGAAGGAACTTGCCATCAAATGGGGACATAAAATGTGTATAATAACAATATTTAGCCACATGTGTGTTAAATGAGCACTGTAACAAAGTCAGAGGATGTAAAAGAAAGTCTGGTATAGTTAAAAGAATTCTGGGCTTGGAATCAGAAGACTAAGACCAAGGTTTAAGTACTTACTACCTTCCACTCACTATCTGTGTCACCTTGAGCTATTACTTCATCCGACTACGCCATAGGTCCCTCAACTGAAAAATGACTGGGTTTGGTAGGTGATCTTTAAAGCATGTTTCTGAGTCCTTAGATTCTGAGATCAGAGAGGGTTTCATGGGAGAACTGCCATTGGTTGTAGAACCTTGAAGAATGGGTATCAGTTTTATATGGAGGAAAAGGAGGAAGAGGGAGGATAAACTTCTAGGTATAAGAAATAGTTTCTGTGGGGACGTATAAGTAGACCAGTTTTGAAAGTTTCTGTAAGGCGTTAGTGAGTGCCTTATGGTTTGGGAATGTTGCTTGTGGCTAGATTAGGCCCTGAATGCCAAGTTAAGAATTTGCAAGTAGATTTGCTTAACAGTAGTGAGTCATGGAAGGTTTTTGAGCAGGACAATGGTGTCATCAGAACAATACCTTGTACATAAAAGAGCAAAGTGGGGAAAGAGAATGTCGTGGCAAAGGGATTAGTTAAATTATTATATTAGGACAGGATAGTCAGGGCACAACTGTCTTGGTTTGTAGTAGCAGATATAGTTGAAAGTGAAGGTACAATTATACAGTGAAAAGAGTGCCACATGAGGTCAGAAAAAACTTAGGTTCATATCCCACTTCTGACACTATGATATCACTTCTCCTGTGAAAAAGTAGTACTTATAGCATCTACTTCATAGGGTTATTGTATGTAATGTAGACAAAGCATTTCATAAGTCTTAACTTGTTTCATAAATGTGTGTAAACAGAATGCATATGTATAATCCATACCAAATTGCATGCCTTCTCAAGGAGGGTGGAGGGAAGGGAGGAAAGAAAAGGATATGAAACTCAAAATTTTTAAATAATGTTAAAATTTTTTGTTTACATGTAATTGAGAAAAAATAAAAATGAATTGTAAAAAAAAAAGGTAAACCACTTTGTAAACCTTAAATTGCTCCATAAATGTTGGTAGCTATTACAATTCTTCAGAGGACTATTCAAAACTTCCTCTTCTCTCCTAATGACTCACCCACAACCATATTCCAAACTTATAGAAGATTCCTTCCTAGTTTACATAAAAGGTTGATGTCAGCCAATCTGAACTCCATCAGGTCTTTTCCTCCATTTCACAAAATTACTTAGCATCATACCTACTATGTCCTCCTTTCCTCTTAGTACAGAGAAAATTTCTACTCCTCTCTTAGGTTGATAACTTTACCTTTACCAGGCCTCAAAGGCACAGGTTCCCCACGACCTATGCTATTGATCTTGTTCCTTCATATCCCCCACCACTTGGTTCTAGCAGTCATCCCCCACCTCTTTCTCCTTCATATCTCCCTTACCACTAACACCTTCCTATCTGCCTACAGTTTATCAGTTCTATAATCCAATCCTAATGAAGAAACTTCCTGTAACTGTCCTCTACTATAACTAACATCCATTTTCTTTCTTGTTCTTCTCTGATAAAATTATTTAAAAATGTGTATACTCCATTCCTCTAACCATTCAAAATTTCCTATATCCTATACTGATCACTCTACTGAAACTCCTTGATCAAAGTTCACCAGTAACTTCATAATCATTCAGTCTAATGGTCTTTATTTAGTTCTCATCCCCTTTGCTCTTTCTGCAATGAAAAACATTTGACTGTCCACTTCATTAAAGTTAATAATTTCCCTCTTGGCTTTAAAGAGACTACCCTATTGGTATGGCCTCTCTAACCACTCATTCCTCTGCCTCTTTTATTTGTAACTTTCCTATCTCTTTAATGTAGATATTCCCCAAGGTTTGTCTTTGCCTTCTTCAACTATACAATAAAGTACATGTCTTCACTGTCTCCTTCATCCCTACAGTTACTACTACCCCTCTGTAGATAAATAATATAACCATGTCTTCCCAGCTGATTTCTCCTCTGAGATACAGACCTGAAACTCCATCTGCTCACAAGCATGTACATTTGGATATCCCAAACTGAAAATGCCAAAACCAAACTCTTTGTGCTTCTCTCAAATATTCTTCTCCAACTGATTTCAGTATTTTTGTTCATGTCAAAACCATACACTCAAAAATAAATCATATATATGTATATGTCTACAAGAGTGAGAGAAGGTTTTTAGATTTTAAAGTACTTCCTCACAGCAGCGAAAGGAGCAGCACAAGTATCACTCTCAAAGAGGCCAAGTTATTCGGCCAAGAGCAACTTGGTATTTTCAATCGCAATGCAACTGAAGGATCCATACCTTCATTTCTTGTTCTTACTACCACTACTTAATATAGGTTCTCCTTCCCACACTTCTGGTCTATCTGTAAAACAATAGGCATTTCTTATGATCCAAGCAATAGGCATCCAGATTTTTAAAAATGGTAATAATGAAAAGGAGGCAAGCCCTGGTTTACATTTTATCAGGGAATGAAACTTGTGTATATATAAGTATATATATGTAAATGTATGTATATATATATATATATATATATATATGTGTGTGTATATATATATATCATATATATACACACATATATAATACAGGGTAATCAAGGAGGGAAGAAATTGACAATTAGGAGGATTAGAAAAGAATTTAAATATAAGGTAATGTTTAAGACATCTTGAATGAAGATACAGGCAGTGAGCTGGATGGCAGAATTGGTAGAGTGAATCTGATTTAGGATGACTTGAGTTCAAATTCTGCTTTAGACACTTAACAATCTCTATGGCCTCAAGTAGGTTAATTTACCTCTGACTACCTAGATGTGAGAAGATTAGTTTTGTATCATTTTCTTGCTGATCTTATTTATAATTAATAGATTTTTGTCCTGTAATTTCTTTTGTCCTATAATGGTTTAAGTCATGATTCTTTGTCTCTGGACTTAGTTCAGAGTTCAGCTGGCTTTTAACAGGTTGAATTTAAAAATCCATTTATTCCTGCCTCAAGGAATTTTGCTAACCCTGGGGAATTTATGTGAACAGAAAGGGAGTCAGACCTGCTATCTTTACACAATCAGGCTGTTCTTCAAGGTTGTCTGGTTTGCTGTCCAAAAATCTAGACCACTATCTCATACTTGGACTCAAATAAAGAGTACCTTTTAGTCTCATGAGAAAAGATGGGGGGGGGGAGGTTGTCACTGCCAGCCCCCATTACCAAACTTCCAACCAACTGTGTTGCTCCCTGTGCCTTATCTCTGTAACCAATCATACTTCTCTTAATCCCATGTTGTCATCCACCCTGCTCTGTATTCCCCAAACCATATAAAAGGAAACTGTCCTTTTGCTTGGAGTCTTTGGTATTAATGGAGCCTTGGACCCATTTATTAAGAGGTAGCATACCTCTCCTAATAACTGTTACCTTATGGCAAGATCTGCCTCAGTTTACCCTTTTATTAAAATTTCAGTCACAACAGATGAGAATAATAATAGAACCTGCCACTTAGGGTTGCTGTGGGGTAAAATGAGAAAATATTCATAAAGATCTTTGTAAACCTTAAAGCATTATATAAATGCAACCTATTAAGGAAGAGAGAGATTCTTTGAAGCTGTAGTTAAGAGGATGTATATTCCAGGGGTGGAGGAGAGAAATGGCCAATGAAAAGGCATGGGGACTAAATATAGAGTGCCATGAGTGAAGAAGGAGAGAGGCTAAAAAAGACTATGGAGTATAGCAAGAGGAGTAATGGATAATGAACCTAGAAGGACACTTTGGAGCCTGGCTTTAAAAGTAAAACCGAATACTTTATCCTAGAAATAATAAACATTCACT